CGCTGAAGTACCTGAAGGACAGGATGGCCAAGGTCTGTGACGGCTGCTTCGGGGAGCTGAAGAAGCGGGGCAGGGCTGTCCCAGGCCTGATGAGAGGTAACTTGGGGACCACTTGCCTTCTTCCAAGTGGCCTGGTGGCTTCTCCCCAGGCTCCAGTGGCTTCTCTCTGATCATGGTTCATGCCTAAAACCGCTTTCCCTGGGAGGGAGTTACTCCGTGGAGGGAGGAAACAGGCTTGAGCTCACACCAAGGCACCATTTCCCAAGATGTGGGTTCCATGGAAAATTGATCAGTGTCCCCAGAAGAGTTCTGTGGGTAGCTAAGCTTAGGAGTCAGTGTGTCTGTAAGGGGACAGAGGCAGGGAACTCCTGTGTCCTTTACCATAGAGGCCCTCTTGTCAAGTATCCTATAGGCCTGTGTCCTGTGAGACCTTTCTGGGACTGAGGACTTTGAGCCTGGCAGTAGAGGAGCTGGGCCAGGGAGAGCTGAGGCTGTTCCACACAGGAGCCTTGGGAATCTGAGCCGGCCCTTTAGAGATCTGGTCCATGCTGAAGGGACAGGCCTTGCCCAAGCAGGGTCAAGTTCCCAGGACGGAGAACAGGTGTATCTTGGGCCTAAAACTAAAGCCTTTCCCTGACGTCCACTCCATGGGGCTAGACTGAGTTCATCAGAGAAGACAGCCCAGTCCCTGCCACCTAGAGGCCTGGAGGTGAAGGGCTGCCCATCACCCTGGAAAGTGTCCCCTCCCAGCTTCCGTAACCCTTGTCTGTTCTACAGGAGGGAGAGTGCTTGACTTTCAGGTCCCACTTAACCCCCATGGTGAGGCTGGCTCACATCCCTAGAAGATTTTAACTAGTATCAGCATTCCATAGACAAGCGACAGTAATGCCTGACTCTTACCTCCCTTCCCCACGGCTTCTTTTGGTTACAGAGCGGCCTGTGAGCATGAGCTTCCCACTCTCTGCACCCCGCTTCTCAGGCAGTGCCTTCTCATCCGTCTTCCACAGCATCAACCCCTCAACTTTCAAGAAGCAGAAGAAAGTCCCTTCAGCGCTGACAGAGGTAAGGCAGGTAGAACTACCCACGTGGGAAGGAGGGGATTTGCAAGGCTCATGGTCCTCCTGGGTAGATGGGGTCAGACCCTGCCCTGTCCTAGCCTGGCCAGTCTCTTCTGGACACAGCATTCCTAATGGAAGCATCCCAGCTATAAGGACCAACTTGTCAGTGAAAAGGGCAGTGCCTTCTGATAGTGCTAGAAGATGTCTTTCCCGTCCTTCTCTCTACCTCTCCCCTTCCTCCTCTTTTCTCTCCTTTTTCTCCTGCCCCATAGCCTAGATCTAGTACCCAAGGAGACTGCACAGATCATGGGGGCTTTTCAGTCTAAAGGAGCCAAAGTCCTGGGTTGGTCCTTCCACGTCAGGCCTCTGAGCTGCACCAGCCCCTCAACCTGAGGGTCCCAACCCTACTCAGGTGGTGATGCCCCGGAGGCCACGGGCTCTGCAGGAAACTTTAGAATTGGCTAAACTCAATTCTGTCCCGCAAATGGGACCAGATTATATGTTTGTATTTCCAATCACAACCACAGACCAATGTGTGCGTGTGAATACACAAGCTGTTCACAAGTGTGATCGTCTGCTTCCAAGTCAGTCCATTAATATTCATTATCAAGTAGCAGGTAGCAAGGGTTTAAAAAAGTGTTAGGGAATAGAAAATTTAAATAGGTACAGTTTTATCCATTAACTTGTTCCTTTTGCAAATTAAAAATCTTAGAAATAGTTTAACCATACATGGTTAAACATTTTTCCAAAAAAAGTACAAAACAGCACATATGATGAAAAGTGAGTTTCTCATTGTTCTCAGCCTCCCTCAATCCCACTGCCACAACTTTCTTGTGGATCCTTCTAGAAATTTTCATACACATACATAGTACAGATGTACATTCATAAATCTTTTTCTACCCAAAAGACAACATGTTATATAGAATCTCTTCTGTTCTCTCCACTTAATTTGTCTTAGAGATCATTTCATAATCACATGTATGTATAAAGCTCACATTTTTTACATTGTATTTCTCTTTTACTAGTAAGGAAATTGAGACTTAAGAGGAAGTCAGCAAATTGCTCAGCATTAACCACCTAGTAATTGGTAGAGCCTGGATGGGAAATCCCAGGTCGGTATTACTTCAAGCCTGTGTTCTTCACCACATAAAGCCTATAGGCAGAATACTGCTACCCCCTGCCACTACAACCAGTAGTAATAATAAAGGGACTTAATGCTGCACACACCCCAATAGGCAGGAGACTATAAAACCTTTTAAGCAACAATACAAAGAGGATCCCTCCCTAAATGGGAAGAAGAGATAAGTTGCAAGTGTTAATTTTAGAAGAATCTTTTACCGAAGTACCTGCCATTTCTTTAGAGGCCGAGGTTGGGAGAGGGAACCAAGAATGTGAAACTCCACTAGGGGAAGCATCGGCATTCCCAAAGTCATGTGGGTCCATTCATTAAATCCTGTTTCTCAGATCATTAAGTACAATCTTGCTGACTTTGGTACTGGGTGGATCCTGAGATCTTATCCAATGTCAAAGCAGTATAGGTAGTCTGCCAACTGGTTTGCACTGTCAGTTTGAAGTGTGCTGTGTTTGAACTGTGCCCAACCATCAGGGTGGCCTGACTGCTCTGCTTCCCTCCTGCCAGGTGACTGCCTCTGGAGAGGGCTCTGCCATCAGCGGCTATCTCAGCCGGTGTAAGAGGGGCAAGCGGCACTGGAAGAAGCTCTGGTTTGTCATCAAAGGCAAAGTTCTCTACACCTACATGGCCAGTGAGGTAGTGGTGATCGGCACTCTCTCCCCTCTGAAATGACCCCCTGGGGCCTGCACACATCCTGTCACCTGCATACATCCTGTTACCTGCAAGGCTGTCTGCGTCCTGGCTGCTGAGCCAGTTCTCGTAGCAGTCAAGTCTTTAGTGAGCAATGCCATGTGCTCAATGTTGCTGTGGCTACACAATCACACACCATTTCAGAATCTAAGGAATGTACAGTTTCTTTGTGGAGGTAAAAAGAACAGACTTGCCAACCTGTGGCACAAAGTGTTTAAATGTCACAGGCCCAAAATCTAGGACAAAGATGGGACAAGCCAGCCATGCCACAAAAGAAAACTCATTCCTACTCTCTACTTAGATTGCTCAGGGCAAAATTCAGCAGTGTGGAAGCTACTCCCTTTTTGTCTGTCCATTTCTTTTATAGGGTAACTCTGGTAACTCTTCTAAAGGAAACTGAAATCTGTATTTTATAGAATGTCTTCTTTTAGGCGAGAGAGCCTTGGATGTCAAGCTTACTTCCAGAGTAGACAGATATATGGCTGTGGTTGTATAGCAGGGTGCTGTCTGTCCCTGACCCAGGCTCAACCTGTTGGATAATGTGAAGCATTTCCATCTCCACACACCACCAGCAGGTGGCTTCTAGGTGGTCAGGCACAGTTTCAGCTTTGAAAATGGGAGTTAAATGTATTCTGACGAGGTGCAGAGGTACTTTGCCTCACTGGGATGTGCACGTCAGATAGGGCTGGCCCTTCTCTCCTGGACGCAGATGCTAGCAAATGCACAAGACGCTTCCTTCTTTGGGGCATGAAGCTTGCCTCTGGAAGGACCTGAAGCTGTGAAGTTTGTGGTATGCCCATCCCCAGGGATCACAGAGGATAGCTTTCTAGAAGAAATTGCTTTGGAGCCATACTTAAACTTAGCTAGGCCCCACATCTGTTTACTCTAAGCAAAGTGGGCAGACATGGGATCTGCCTGCCTGCTTTTGGTCTGACCTGAGTGGCTTGGGCACTGTGTCAATCACAGCCCTCCCTGAGGGGCCTCTGCCTGTGTCCAAAGCGAGGCCTTCCACACTGGGGGGGATTTTTATCTTTCCACAACAAACTGAACAAGTGTTGTCATGGAAGTGACAGCATAAACTTATTTTAAAAGTTGGATATACGGGCTTGGCACAGTGGTTCATGCCTGTAATCCCAGGACTTTGGGAGACTGAGGCAGGAGGATCTTTTTTTTTTTTTTTGAGATGAAGTTTCACTCTGTCACCCAGGCTGGAGTGCAGTGGCGTGATCTCGGGTCACTGTACCCTCTGCCTCCTGGGTTCAAGCAATTCTGCCTCAGCCCTTGAGTAGCTGCGACTACAAATGTGTGCTGCTATGCCTGGCTAATTTTTGTATTTTTAGTAAAGTTGGAGTTTAACCATGTTGGCCAGGATAGTCTTGATCTCCTGACCTTGTGATGCACTCACCTCGGCCTCCCAAAGTGCTGGGATTACAAGCATGAGCCACCACGCCCAGCCCAGGAGGCTCTCTTAAGGCCAAGAGTTTGAGACCAGCTGGAACAACATTGTGAAACCCTATCTCAACAAAAAATGAATGAATGAATGATGGACTTAAGTATGGCTCTAAAGCAGTTTCTTCTAGAAAGAAGGATTTACATAATTTCTCAATAAACCTGTTTCAACGATGGAACAAAGCTTTCAAATCTCATCAAAAAAGGTTCTGATGAAGTAGATAGCTGGTTTGCACTGTCTACATCACCATGAACCCCTGTCATGTACCCTGAGGTGGCCCAAAGCTGATGCAACTTGCTATTTAGTAACAGTCCTGGCAGAAAGCAACTATTAAAAATACATAGGAATCTTTATTTTTTCCAACACTTTTTGTTTTGAGATGGGTCTTGCTCTGTTGTCCAAGGCTTGAGTGCAGTGGTGTGATCACTGTTCACTGCAGCATTCTGTGAACTCCTGGGCTCAAGCCATCCTCTCAACTCAGCCTCCCAAGAAGCTGGGACCACAGGTGTGTGACACCATGCCCAGCTAATTTTTTTATTTTTGGTAGAGGCAATCTCACTGTATTGCCCAGGCTGTTCTCAAACTCTTGGTCTCAAATCATCCTTCCACCTTGGCCTCCCAAAGTGTTGGGATTACAGGTGTGAGCCACTGTACCCAGCCTATTTTATCCAACATTTTATCATTTCTTTATGTTTATAAAAATTTTCAAACATAAAGGAATGTCTTTTTTTTTTTTTGAGACAAGAGTCTCACTCTGTCACCCAGTCTGGAGTGCAGTGGTATGATCTCAGCGCACTGCAGCCTCTGCCTCCTGGGTTCTAGCGATTCTCCTGCCTCACTCAGCCTTCTGAGTAGCTGGGATTACAGGCACATGCCACCATGCCTGGCTAATTTTTGTATTTTTAGTAGATGGGGTTTCACCATGTTGGTCAGGCTCCCAAAGTGCTGGGATTATAGGCTTGAGCCACCACGCCCGGACACATAAAGGAATGTTGAAAGAATTTTACAGTGAACTGGCCAGGCGTGGTGGCTCATGCCTGTAATCCCAGCACTTTTGGAGGCTGAGGTGGGAGGATCACTTGAAGTCAGGAGTTCAAGACCAGCCTGGGTAACGTGGCAAAACCTCATCTCTACTAAAAATACAAAAATTAGTCAGGCTTTGTGGCATGCACTTGTAGTCTCAGCTACTCAGGAGGCTGAGGCAGGAGAATCACTCAGATCTGGGAGATGGCGGTTGCAGTGAGCCAATATCATACCTGGCACTCAAGCCTGGGCAACAGAGCAAGACTGCCTCAAAAAAAAAAAAAAAAAAAAAAAAAAAAAAATTTGTAGTGAACCATTGTATGACCATTAACTGGATGATATAATTAACATTTTCTACATTTCCTTTATCAAGTACCTATTCATCCTTCTATACATTTTACTTTTTGATGTTTTTCAAAATATACTTCCCCCTAAGAATTTAATATTTTGGTAGCTTTTTTTTCCTTTTGCAGTCTAATTTATATATAGTGAAGTGCACAAATCTCATATATACTATTTGGTGAGTTTTGATTAATGCACACACCTACAAATCGCCACCATCATCCCGTCCCCAGAGGCAACACCCTGTTCCAAATTTTTCCCACCAGATTAGTTTTACCTCTTGGTCCGCATACAGATGGAATCACGTGTGACTTCTATTCACCATCATGTTTTCAAGATTCATTTATGTTGTTGCATATAGCAGTAGTTTACTTTTTATGGCTCAATGGTCTTCCATTTTGTGAATATACCAGTTTTGTTTAGCTGTTCATGAGTCAAAGGACATTTGGATTACTTCCAGTTTTTGGTGATTGTGAATAAAGCCACTTTAAACATTTTCATACAGGTTTTTATGGGAACATAAATTTTTATTTCACTTGGGTCAATACCTAGGATTGGAATTGATGGATCATATAAGGCAGGCATATGTTTGGTTTATACCTTTTTCCAAAGTGGTGTGCCATTTTACGCTCTCCCAACGTGTGTGAGTTTGAGTTCTGGTTGCTCCACATCATTGCTAGCACTTGGTATTCTCAGGCTTTAAAATTTTAGCCATTCTAGTAGGGAGTATTTCGGTAATTCAGTGTGGTTTTAATTTGGATTTCCTTAGTAACTAATGATATTAAACACGATTGCTTTCATGTGCTTATTGGCCACTCATATATTTCCATTTGAGATGTGTCTATTCAGATCTCTTGCCCATTTTTTTTTTAAGTTGGTTGTGTCTGTGATTGGGTTATAAGAGTTCTTTCTGTATCCTGTGTACCAGGCTTTTGTCAGATAAATGTTTTACAAATATTCTCTCCCTGTCTTTGGCTTACCTGTTCATTTTCTAATGAATGAATGAATGAACCTTTTGGTGAACAACAGTTTATAACTTTGAGGAAGTCTATCAGTGTTTCCTTTTATGACTGTTGCTTTCTGTGTGCTAAGACATTTTTGTCTACTGGAAGCTACAAATTATTTTCTTGTATTGTTTTCTGAAAGCATTAATGTCTTAGCTTTTACATCTAGGTCATCGCAAATTAATTTTTGTGTATAGTATGACATGGGAGTTGAGGTTTCTTTTTTTCATTATGGATATCCAGTTGTTCCAGCACTATTTGTTGAAAAGACTTGCCTCTCTCCATCTTGGATTGCCTCGATATCTTTGTTAAATCTCAAACGACTGAATAAGTAGAGATCTATTTCTGGGCTTTCCATTGTGTTCCATTAACATATTTGCCAATTCTTATGCTAGTATCAAACTGTCTCAAATACTTTATAGTAAGTCTTGAAGTCAGGTTGTTTAAGTCCTCCAACCTAGTTCTTTAAGACTGTTTCAAGGCTAACAAGGTGCCTACGCCTGTAATCCCAGCACTTGGGAGACCAAGGCAGGTAGATCACTTGAGGCCAGGAGTTCAAGACCAGCCTGGCCAACACAATGAAACCCCAACTCTACTAAAAATAGAAAAAATTAGGGGGTGTGTGGTGGTGCGTACCTGTAATTCCAGCTACTTTGGAGGCTGAGGCATGAGAATCACTGGAGTATGGGAAGCAGAGGTTGCAGCAGTGAGCAGAGATCATACCACTGTACTCTAGCCAGACATTTTTTCCCAGACTCAGTCTCAAAAAAGAAAAAAAAAATTAATAAAAGAAACAGAGACAGACTCATAGACCAATGATAAAGAGGTGAAAAAAAAAAAAAAAAATCATTTTGGGCATTCTGGATCTTTTGTGTTTTCATATAAACATTAATTTTTATGATAGGGATTATGGAATCTATAGACCAATTTGGAGAGAACTGACAATGTAATATTAAATCTTTCAATCCATGAACAAACCTTGAATTCCCTTTTAATGTTTTATAGTTTTTAGTGTAGACATACTTGTATTAACATATTGCTAAGTATTTTCTTTTTTGGATGCTATTTTGAATGGAGTTTATTTTCTAGTTGTTTGCTGGTACTATATACACACAAAAATTGTCCTATGACTTTTCTAAATTGATTCTTAGTTCTAGTAGTTGTTTTGTGTTCTTGCAAGCACAAATAGTTCTACTTTTCTGATCTTTATGTCTTTATTTTTCTTTTCTTAATACAGCCTCCAGTATAATGTTAAATTGAATTGGTGAGAGTGAGCACTGCTCTTGCCTTGTTTCCAATTTTAAGGGAAAAGCATTTGGTGTTTCACTATTAAGTATGATGTTAGCTGCAGATATAGATGCCCTTTGTTAGTTAACGAAGTTCCCTTCTACTCTAGTTTGCTAAGAATTTTTTGTTTTTGTTTTTACCATTAATGGATATTAAATTTTGCCAAAGGCTTTTTCTGATCTAGCAATTTTTGAGAATTGACTCCCTTTTTTTTTTTTCATTTTTATATTTTTATTATTTTAATTGCATTTTAGGTTTTGGGGTACATGCGAAGAACATGCAGGATTGTTGCATAGGTACACACATGGCAGTGTGATTTGCTGCCTTCCTCCCCAACACCTATATCTGGCATTTCTCCCATGCTATCTCTCCCCAACTCCCCACCCCCCCATCCCTCCCCTATTTCCCCCTGAAAGGCCCCAGTATGTGATGCTCCCCTCTCTGTCCATGTGTTCTCATTGTTCAACACCTGCCTGAGTGAGACCATGCAGTTCTCACTCCCTTTATTTTATTTTTTTGAGACAGAATTTTGCTCTTGTTGCCCAGGCTGGAGTGCAATGGTGCGATCTCAGCTCACGGCAACTTCAACCTCCAGGGTTCAAGCACTTCTCCTGCCTCAGCCTCCCGAGTAGCTGGGATTACAGGCATGCACCACCATGCCCAGCTAATTTTTTATTTATTGTTAGTAGAGATGAGGTTTCTCCATGTTGGTCAGGCTGGTTTTGGAACTGCTGACCTCAGGTGATCCACCTACCTTGGCCTCCCAAAGTGCTGGGATCACAGGCATGAGCCACTGTGCCCAGCCACAACATTTTTTTT